TGGTGCTTGGAGTTGCAGAGGGTTGATCTCTAAACATGGCAGGGACATCACCATCCAAGGTGCCAATCGAACTTTTAGCTCTCTTGATGCGTCTCCAAACTTCTTGGATGAAAACACACTTGATGAAGAGATGATCAACACTCTCTTCGTTGCTGCAGCAAAGGGTACAACGATTGGCAAGGGCCAATCCTCTTCTTTTCAATCTGTCCAGGGTGGAAATTTTCTTGTGCTATAAAGTCTAGCAGAAAAAACGGATTTTACTCAGAATAAAAGGCTTCCAAATAGAAGAAGCTTCAAAGTTCTGCAGACCAGGGAAGCTCTCACGGGTCATCTGTCTGTAAGTAGAGTTTACTGAAAAGGTACCATCATGCTTAGGCGACCAATAAATCATGCAAGGACTGTTACCAGAGAGATGCAAGTTTCTGTTGTTTAAAATATTAAAGAACCTCACTCTCTCTCTATCCGCTCCTCCTCTCTATGAAAAACGTAAGTCAATGTTCCAATTTACCTCACAATTAGAGAAAGAGACCACATCAGCAATCCGAGCAGCAGGAAAAGAAGCAGCAGCCACTCTAGGGAAGTCGGCAGCAAGAAGGGAGTTTGAGGTCCATTTGTCATACCAGAAGGAGACGTGGCCTCCCCCATCAGGATCAATCTGAGCATATTTCCAGAACACAGGATATTCTTTCGCAATATTAGCCCACATAGAGCTTGAGAAACCAGAATTGATATAAGAGGTCTGCCACGAGGAGAGATTATTCTGATATTTGGTGTTGATCAAGGTTCTCCAACAGCTGTTAACTTCCACTGCAAACTTCCATAACCATTTAACTAAGAGAGCAGAATTGAATAAGGCGAGGCCACATAGGCCAAGACCACCTTTAGATCTTGGGGTTTTGCATAGATTCCAGCTAATAAGATGAGGTTTCCGAGAATCTCCAATCCCATTCCAAACGAAGTTTCTCTGAATAGCCTCAAGATCTTCAATAACCGTCTTAGGAGCTTTAAGAAGAGAGAAGTAATAAACATGTAAGCTAGTAAGGACAGCTTTGTTAAGAACCAGCCTACCTCCAGTTGAAAGGTATTTACCTTTCCAACCATCCAATCTTTTCCTGAAATTTGCAATGATCGGATCCAAGTCGAGACGGCATTAGGCTTAGCGCCAAGAGGATAACCAAGGTACTTAGGTGGGCTGCTACTCCATTTACACCCAAATATGCCAGCATAGTAGCTCGGTTCAGGAACATCACCCACAGTGTACATAATGGATTTGTCGAGGCTGACCTTAAGCCCTGTAACCGATTGAAAACACACAAGAGTAGCCAGAATGCTAATAACTTGCTCATGGGAGACATCACAGAAGATGAGTGTATCATCAGCGAAAAGAAGATGCGTGACCTCTCCTTGCTGTTGATTCTCATTCATGACACATTATTAAAAAGTTATTTTGATAAATTGCCAAAATCTTTTCAATAAACAGCATCAAAGTTAATTTGATAAATTGAGGGGAGATCATCAATTTTGAATGTTGAAAACCCAAAAACCTCCTAGGTACACTTGTGTAATTTTCGAAGGATATGAAACTACTTTTCTTTCAATAGTACAAATATGGTAACAAGAATCTTATCCCATGAATCAGGGCCCTTGGTTGCTTCGGATCTGATTATCAATTTAAGTACACTTATAATAGTGATTGACCCAAAGTCCCAGATAAATATTTTGGTACGGCCTATTCTAATGTCATGCATTCTCTTTTTCTTCTTTTTTAATATAAAATATTAAAAAATGATCGCTTTTCTTCTTTCAGAGAGTGGGACCTAAAAGGACGCCCCTACCTGATACTGAGAATGATCTATCGTAATGGTATTTTAGTCACTTGATCACTTTCCTCGTTCAAATTACAACCAACCTAATGGTGTTTTGGTTTTTTTACTGTGCAACTAAGACTTCGGTTGGGAGTGGATTAGGTTTTGTCGGATTTACTGGGGGAGCACTCCATTGATGTTTGAGCGTTTTATGATTATATGGATGATGCATTCATCATCGAACTCATTTCATTTAGGGATGCTCTACGATAGTGTCTTTATCATTCAGTAACTAACATTTTATTCTAGGAGATACGCAGGTGATTATCCACATCATTAATTTGAAGGATTTGACACACACTTGGGGTGGAAGCCTCATTTATGATGTTTGGGGTCTACGCTCATCTCGGCAGGATGTCTCGTTTCACCTTCGTTGCGTAAGTATAATAGGGTTGTCATCTCATGGCAAATAAACCCTTTCATTGTTGGATTGTCATTAGCGATGTCAAAATATTCTCATTCGTGGATACTCGCTCGAATTCGATCTCACCTGGCCTGGTAGGGAAAAACCAAACCCGAACGATTTTTGGTGGGTATGGGTAGAATTTAAATTCAAATGTTGACCATAATGTGTGAACAAGGATTTTTCACTATTCAACCCAAACTCACCCGATTAACATATTTGTATGCATATTATATATAAACGATCTTTATTTTTCACATCATATTTTATATTTTTTTATAAATATATAATATTTTCATAAAATTTTGTTAATTCAACTAGTATTTTTCATTCTAGTGATTTATTGTTGTACATTCCACTTATGTAATGCCAATGTACGTGTAGTTGTTAAAATGTTAGTTGAAGTTATAAAGAAAAATTACTACCCTTGAATAACAATGGATATCTGAAACTCTATCATGTATGAACATGGTTTTAATTTTCTATCCGATTTTTGTATGAGTATGCATATAATGAATAGGAATATCTACCCCGACCCGATTCGTTGCAATCACTAATCATTATTTGATCCAACACAACTCTTTCTTTAGTTCTACTTTGTAATTCACCAGCAAAACTGCTATATCATAGCTTACTATTTTCCATTAGTCATACCTCTCTCAAAAACAAATGGTATCTTAGTCAACAGCATCAGCATAACAAGAAAATTTTAGTCCCTCTATTTCTTGATGTAGAGGGTTTTATTGCTATAACAACAATTTTGGTGGCTGATTAGACTAGTTTCCTAAACACTAGTGACTGGTCCTGGATTTAGCTAAAGGCTTCCTTGTTCCAAGACCAAGAGAGAATTAGGGAGGCCAATGATTCGAGCTTGTGTTTGACTCGAGCTGGACTTGTTAATGAGCTCACGAGCTCTATTTGAGTTTGGCTCATTAATTAGCCTGTGATATAACTTCTAGCTCACGTATCATATCATTTAGTTCATAAATTGTAATTTTTTATTTGATGTTACATAATTTATGATACATAATTTCATTTTAAAATATTAACGAGACATGCCAAAGGTAACATAGCCTAGTGGTGAAACCACTGGACTAATTGAGCTTTGGATGTGGGAGGTCCTGAGTTTGATTTCCAGTGGCGCCACTTGAGCGTTCCCGGCGACACCCTTGGTATCGGAGGCGAAGCCTCCCCGATGTTGGTAGCAGAAAGCCCCGATTAGTATCAGGTACCCCTGTCAATGTAGTCAAAAGCGAGTTTCTACGTCGAAACGTTTTGGTGATCTATAAGCGTAAAATCATATGTTTTTAAGTTTTAAAGCGAAGTTTTTAACTACATAAGTTATAAAAACTGAGATTTTGTGTAGAAGCGTTTTAGTGACTTAAAAACGTAAAATTGTAAGTTTTTAAGTTTTAAAGCACGATTTTAACTACATTGCCCCCAGTGGTTTAGTAGTGTACGTGGGCATCGGGCCATGCAGCCCATGGGCTAGCACGGCACGACACGGTTAGAGCACGGCACGAGCACGGACATGAAATAAATGGGCCAGCCCGGCACGAGCACGAATAATTTATGGGCCGTGTCGGGCCTAAACTTCATGGGCACGGGCACGACACGGTATATAAGTGGGCCGTGTCGGGCCTAATATTTTCGAGAGTTTATTGAGTATAAGAACGAACATGGCACGAAAATAATATTTATTTGATAAAAATAAATATAAAAGAATTATAGGTTCAAATATTACAAAACACAAGTAGAAAAATAATTATTTGTTGTTGTTAGAAGTGTCATAAAGATATATACGTAATTACTAACATAAGTAAAAATGGACAAAAAATTAAATAAAGCCGAATCACACTCGCTATACTTCCAATTTTCTTTTCCCTCTTATTTGTTACTTTTCTCAAACATTATCGATTAATACTATCTTCCCCCGTCCAATTTTCACCTTCTTTTTCATTCTCTCTTTTGTTTTGGTCTTTTTCATTAAACACGAATACGAGCATGACACGAACACGAATAGGCACGACACGATTCGAATCGTGCCCGGGCCTATGCCGGGCCTAGCAAAGTTAACAAATGGGCTTGCATGGCACGACACGAAAACTGACGGGCTGTGCCAAGCACAACACGAAATAAATGGGCCCGAAGCGTGCCCGTGTCGTGCTGGCCCAAGCACGGCCCAACGCCTATGTACATTTAATAGGCCCCACTGTCGCTCAAACGACACGTGAGGCTGAGGTTCCCTGGGTTATCAAATAAAAAAGATATAAACGAGACATATTCGGTCATCTCTTAGTACTCTTAAACATTATATATGCCAGTACAAAAAATCCAACAAATGTATGAATTATCAAACAAGCCAACTAATGAGTTATTAATCAATTTGCAATTAAGTTGCTAGTAGAGGAGGCTCTCAGCTAAATTACGAGTTAGCTTAACAAGCCACCGAGTCGAGTTAGCTTGCGAGCCTTACAAGCCGGACAAAACGCAGTTTAAGCTTAACTCATTAGTAAACGAGCCCAGTACCACCTTGAGGGTTTCGAGTTTGGGATGTGACAAGGTCCCAGGTTCGATCCTAGTAACACCTTCTTGGTGTTCCCGAAGACACCTTAAATTATCAAATAAAAAAATCAGTAAACGAGCTGAGTGTCAGAAGGAGATTTTTCTCTAACATAATGTTGAGCCGCTTGGCTCAAGAGAAACGAAACGTTAAGAAAAGAATGTAATACGGGTGGCCGGTGGGTTCAAGAAATCGAATAACTGCAAACCCAAAAGATCTGTATCCTTCTTTTCTGATTTCTGACCTTCTTCCAATTCCCCCAAAAAAAATCTAACCCCTAACCCAGCCGCCGCCTCACATCTATCGTACGGCCAGAGGTCCGGCGACACCCCCCGAAACCGAACATGGAAGCCGCCGGCGGGAATCTCGATCTCAACGACACCGCCAATTCCGCTCTCGTCGATTCCTTCTGCGAGATCACCTCCTCCACCAGGCAGGAAGCCGCTTTCTTCCTCGAGAGCCACCAATGGGATCTCGACGCCGCCGTTTCCACCTTCCTCGACAACGATAACACCGCTGTCGCTGTTGCCCCTTCTTCTGCTGTACCTGCTGCTCCTCCGACTGGCGGTGGTGGCGGGGGCACTCCTTCTCCGACTGATTCGCCGGACGAATCGATGTCTCCTAACTATTCCCCCTCTCAGTCTCCTGCTAGGTCTAGGTCACGGTCACGATCCCGCTCCCTGTCCCCTGCTCCCGCCACTATGTCTAGGTTGCCTTACCAGCTGAGGCAGAGAGAGGAGAAGAAGAATAAGAAGACTGGTACGGCCGGTGCTAGTGGGAGTGGGAATCGTGGTGGAATAAGGACTTTGGCTGATCTCAATCGGATCCCTGGCGGTTCTGATAGCGATGACGACGACGACGAGCCGCAGGAGTATTACACCGGCGGCGAGAAGAGGTAAAAGAAAAGAAACCAATTAGTGCCCTAGCTAAGTGTCAGAAAAGTTTGAAATTTGGTTTCAATGTCGATACTATGGAGGCAACTTTTTTTGGATTTCAGCCGTTTATTGAGCAATTCTTGAACTGTTAGCCATGAATGGTGTGCTTGTTTGCTGCTGATTCCAGTACTGATGAATGATTGGTTTTTGGCTGATGATGTTTGCTTCATTGACATTACTTGGTACAGCGGCATGCTAGTCCAAGATCCTACAAGGCGCTATGATGCCGATTCCATTTTCGACCAGGCTAGAAACTCAGGAGCTGTTCAAAGGCCCGAGGATTCTTCTGCTCGATCTTCTTCAGCTTCGAGAAGCTTTACTGGAACTGGGAGACTACTCACTGGAGAGACAGTTCCTACTTCTGCTCAGCCACCTGAGTCTGTCAATCATACCATCACTCTCTGGAGGAATGGCTTCACTGTCAATGATGGGCCTTTGAGGAGGCTGAATGATCCTGCTAATGCTGACTTCCTTGAGGTAAATGCTCATGAACTATATGTTCTTGCCACATTCTGTTGTGGTTTGCATTATTGTGAATACTCTATAGTACTTGATCTCGCTCTTTAGCTTCCCCACAAGTCTACCAGCTGGTTCAAAGTTTCCAGGTTGCTTCTGCCATGTATTCAGTTCATGTTCACAGGTCTTTTGGTTAGGTTTGGCAGGTTAAAATCTGCTTATGTTTCATGCATTAAAGCGTATAAACAATACACGCAAGAAAAGTTGGTTTCGAACGTGTTCCTTCACGTTTCTGACGCAATTGTCTATACAAATGCACTAAAATGAACAATATTTTCGGTAAATAATAACATGCAAAATAAAATAAAAAAGCTTGTGATTGAGAGAAATAGCATTCCAAAGAGAATGATTCTGTGTTGCTGGCATATAGCCCACTTGAGAAGCTGTAATGTCTGTATCTTTTTCTTGCCTTGTATGTGAAGTTTGAATCTTTCAATGGAAAGATATGATGTTGCATCTGTGTAAGATATTGCCCTTATGTTGCTACTCGTCTATATCATATTGCAGAGTGTTCAGAGGTCTGAGTGTCCAAGAGAGCTGGAACCAGCAGACAGGAGAACTAAAGTCCATCTCGCCCTAGTGAGACGGGATGAAAACTACGCAGTGAGCTCTCATCTTCGCCCTCAATCTATCCATTTGTCAATTCATCTCGTTTATCAATTCCCCTCCCATCCCTTTCAATGCAGGAACCAGCAAAGAAGAAACCAGCCTTCCAAGGCGTGGGCAGAACTCTGGGAACTACCGGTGATGGTGGAGCCTCAGCATCAGAGTCGCCAGCAGCCCCACCGTTGAAGTCTGCTCCAGCTCCCTCAGTCGGTCTCACCGTAGATTCTTCATCACCAACAACATCGATTCAGCTCAGGTTGGCAGATGGGACCCGGATGGTGTCCCGGTTCAACCTCCACCACACCATAAGAGATGTGCGTGCTTTCATCGTGGCATCGAGACCTGGTGAAGCTCAAGATTTCCAGCTGCAGACAATGGGGTTTCCTCCCAGACAGCTCACTGATCCTGATCAGACAATAAAGGACGCTGAGATCGTGAATTCGGTCGTGATGCAGAAATTCTAGATCAGATTACACCGGTAACCTCATTGCTAGGTAGGTCAGTGGCATTGTTAGCTAAGACGATTCGTTTTTCCGTTTCTCAACTGTTATTATTGTCGGATGGATTCAGGCTATGTGTAGGAAGATTGTCAATCACACTATTTATTCAAATCAATTTGAATTAGCTTGAAGAGTTTCTTTTATATATTTCTGAAGCAATCCGGAGAAAAGGGCAACGATTATTATCAATTTATTTGAAAGGCTTGCCATGCCCACGGCGAGGCTTATCAGAATTTGAAGGAGTTTTATCTGTTGAATCCTGTACATATATAAATGAAAGGCTTTGTTTAAAATCTGAGTTTTAGAAAATTCGTGATGAATTTGATTCAATATGAACTTACAGACTGTCTGTTACTATCAAATGAATCGAGAATTCATTTCATTGTAAAATCGAGAATTCATTTCATTGTGAAATGAATTACCATGTAAATCGAGAATTCATTTCATTGTAAAATGAATTACCATGTAGAATTCATTGTCAATTGAAATCTTATGTTTGGAATGTCATATTCAAATCTTTAGAAATAAAATGAATTGCAGTGTGGAATTCATTGTCAAATGAATTCTTGTGTTTGGTATGTCATATGTATAAGTAATTTAGTTAATAAAAGAGGATAATTAGTAAATACTTGTGTAATTCATTTCAAAATTCTCAATTCCTCGGAATTGCTATAACTAGTTACAATTCCATAGAATTCAAAATTTAGAATTGAAAATAAATTTTTTCAATACCAAACACAAAAATGTTTCATTTCCAAATGAATTTCTCAAAACTTATGGAATTCATTTATACCAAACGGTATGTTAAGAAAGTTTGTTGTTTGTTTGTTGGATTTATTCATGAATTTTGTTGCTATGTATTTAATAAGTTTTAAATGTAAATTACCTAATTGCCCTTAACTTAAAAGCATTTTTAGTTTTGAATAAGGATATAAAAGTAAAAGACTATCACATATTTAGGCTATGTTCCAAATTCCACACACATATATGGGATTTATAAGTTCGTGTGGTCCTGTGAAGTCAAATTCGCGCATTAAAACGTAAAAACTTACGTTTTTACGTATCCAGGCCACCAAAACGTTTCAGTTTCTATCTAAAGTCGCTTAGTCACAAAAATTGGTAAAAACATGGGTTAAATCGGTAAAATCGCTTAAAATCGGTAAAATCGTGATTCTTGAGAGTTTTTATTCGATTTTGATCATCACATAAAAATGTGCTAATTGGCCCAAAATGATGTGATTTTGGTCTTTGGAGACATATTAGCAAAAAATAAAAATAAAAGGAAAACATGATTCATCACTCGTTCTACAACTAGTGTCGAGATAGGGGCTTCACATTAGGTTGAAAAGACACCTAATGGTATTCTCAACAATCATTGACCTTCTATCAGTCTTCTCCCTTAATCTTCACATGTGGCTCTTACCAGGGTTACGATAAAAGTTTATGGGTAATTGTTCGTATGTAATTATGTAAACTCAAACTAGCTTATGAGGATTTGGATTCTCAAGCTCGTTTACGGGTTACGATCTACGTTTATGAGCTTATTATTAAGATGTTATGAGTTTTCTCTACTTTTGAGTCAACACATATTAGTTTATGTGTTAGATATTACATTTTAATTATGAATTTCATGTAGTTATTCATTTATCTAAAATCTACACACTCATATTTTACATACTATATGTTGTACTTAACATATTTTAGCTATTTTAGAGGGTGCGTAAAAAACTTACACTTTTACGCTTTGATTCTACGTTTTACGATTTTACCCATTTTCCGCTTCTAGGTAGAATCGCGCTTTTAACTGCATTGGTGTGATCCACGAATTTGAACCCTCGAAATTCGTGGGCTCCACGGATTTGGTCACTCCAAAAAATGCAAGCAAACAATGCCTTTCACCCAAGTCCATGATGGATTAGATTTAGGTACCAAATCCATCACCCAAAATGCATGAAGCAAATATATATTAATAGACCGTTTGGTATCAAATGTATCAAAAATTCATTTCATTTTAAAATTAATTATCGTGTATAATTCATTGTCAAATGAATTTTGTGTTTGGTATGTCATATTCAAATCTTTAACAATAAAGTGAATTGAATTTTCAAACTATGCTTGGTATAAGTTCAAAATTGAATTAAATTAAAAAGTTTCAACTATGCTTGGTATAAGTTCAAAATTGAATTAAATTAAAAAGTTTCAACTATGCTTGGTATAAGTTCAAAATTGAATTAAATTAAAAGATTTCAACTACACTCCTATTAATTTATGGCAGAAACAATATTAATTCAACAAACAACAATCTATATAAAAAAACAAACCTAACCACAAAGATTAAGCGTTGTATATATAGAGTAGCAAAGTTGGAGCTTTATGTTGTATATATAAGAAACAATCTTCATCAAAGTAAAAAGTAACCATAAAAGTAATGCATACATATAGATAAACGTACTTAACCTGTTGATGTTGCTGGCCGTGTAGTTTGGAAACAATAAGAGAGTTGGTTCCATTGCCAAATAGCATATTGCCGTTTAGCCCTTATAATAGAATTTGGAGTTGCTCGAAATGCAGGGTTTAGGAGAATATATATGTGTTTGGTGGCTTCTAAGATAATGAAAACTAGTACTTGGCCCGCGTTCCGCGGCGGGGTAAGTGTGATTCCAGTTGTTTTGTGGATTTTGTTATGTTCTTTCTGCTATACCATTCGCAAATAGTTTAGATTCATTACGCGAGAGAGCGCAGAAATTAACAAACATATTAACAATTTTTGTGCACACCACACATATACATCTGCCATAGTTTTGTCTTCATTGAAAATAGGGAATAAAAACTTTAGTATCTGATGCCCTTGACGAAATTAAAAAACACAAACACATTTGCCATAGTTTTGTCTTCACTGAAAATAGGGAATAGAAACATCAGTTTAAAATGGAGAATTCTGGGGGTGGATGGGATACTTCGGTTGGCCTTTCTGTCAGTAGTGCTGATGGTCACTTATCTATCCTTGAGGTGTGCCAAAGTGTCGCTACTCTTATTTGGGATACGGCTGTTCTGGTTCTGTTCTTCAGATCTGAGGAACCGATGTAGAGCTCTCCTGCAAACATTTTGCTACATCTTTTGACCAGCAACGCCTTGGCCGATTCTGCATCGAATTTTTTGTATTTGCTGGGTGACATTCCTATTATTGATAGTGTAGCCTCGTGGTCCAGTATGGCATCAACACTATCATCTCCTTGCTTGCATTTGACTTCCAACTCATAGTGCAGCCTAGTCATAAGTATAAGTTCAGAAACTTGTTGGCTTATTCGTAGATAGATTCATTCACATGAGAAGTAATTGTCGTTTTGAAATAGAAAACTTACTCTGGCCAGTCCTCAGTCGCTTGACATATGGCTTTTCGAAATTTCATTTGTGAGATGAAGAACTTAACACGATAGAGTACCTAGCATGAACATCAGATATTCATAAGATATAGGTCTACGAAAAATGTAGGTACACAGTATAGGAGATTTGGTTTATGTTCTGTCCCTCACTAACCTTGTGGACAGTCTGATCAGATGCAAGCATTGTTTCCATGTCAGAGAGTGTCTTCTTTTCGATTCCCGATCGAAGGCAGCCTGTCTTCTTGCTGGTATTGGCATCCATGAAATAAACTTGCCTGCGACTGTAAAGGAAACTGGTTGTAGCATAAAAGAGACAAAAGTGTCAATGTAATTGGTTTTGGCCTACTGGCAACAAATATGATTCAAAAAATGGAAAGGATTCTGTCAAACTAAATGTACATGTGCATTATCTCCTGGAATGGGACTGTATAAGATCTGATCATGAGTGCACTGGCAGGAGTGGATTCGAACCGATACTTGTATTTCTGGTCGGCTAGAGGTGCCACCCGAATGACAGACTTGATTGTAACAATCAGAGGCAGATGAGCCTCAGCTGTCGGGGCGTTCTCTAAGAAGTTCGGTATATCATATCCACGATACCGAACAGTTGCCTTAGCGCCACTGTCAATGACACTAATATGTGAGGTTATTTATTCATACAATTCGCAGATCGAGATTCTATTCTACAAAATGTACCTCACATCCTGAACGACCATGTGAAATTCTTTGAGTCTACTGCGAATTGTTGTGGGAACACTGAGACGCCTAATGCATACGGTGATGTCTATAAGCAACATAAGAGTTTGTCACTTAAAAGCTTAAGTTCATTTTATTATATCAAATAGATATGGTTAATGTACCTGTATGATAGTCGATGGTGTTTGTCTGAAGTGATACCATCGAAAAAGCCATCCCAATGTCCCAGCCAGCGGGCAAGCGTGGCTCATCTGGGTCCTCCTCAATCCTGGTAATTTTTTGATCAGCGGTTATGTGCACTCTTAACTCTCCTGCAACGATCCTTGGATTCTCTCTTGCTGGTATTGCTTCAACCGAATCAAACTGATAAAGGTTCCCGACTTTTATCTTGCGAGAAATCTCGGCGATGTCTTTTTCATCAACCATTGACTCGATTAGTCGTACCTATAAGATAAGCAGTTAAACGGTTCCAAATTATGTATTATAGTAGTTTAAAATTGTTGATGAAGAGATTATCTAATTCTGTAACTGAAATGGAAAAAAACCTTTTTATCTATCCAGATCATGTGCATGCTAAGATTTTTAAGCTTAGGCGCCTCTCGATACTCGAGCCATGCCATCACAGGCCTAGCAATTACTATGCGGACGTTGGTGCCCAGACGCAACCCTCGAAATGGCATGCAAGTTTCGATCGGATCTATAATAAGACAGTATAGGGAAATGAAACACATATTTTATCTTTGGAGCAGAGGATTCGAGATACCTGGTAGTATTCTTTAACAAAAATGGAAAGCATTCACCTTTGTTGTCGGTGGGGACCATGTGAGCGTCCTCTGTTGACTGCTGGTTTTTGGCCAAACCCTCCATGTCTTTTGGGGTCTTTACGCAAACAATGTGGATGATGATCAGAAGTTAATTCCCAAGTGTGAAAACGGCAAGGAAGAGGAGGACGTGGAGTTACCTTTGTTTTAAAGGTTGTCGTGTAGTTCGGTGGTGGGGCTTTCGCGGCGGAGCAAAGTGTATGGAAATGTGGACGGCGGATCTGGTTGATGAAGACAGTTAGGGATTATAAAGGAAGCGGTGATTTTGGGCCAGTTTCCCATGGGCTTCTGTCTGCAATCCTAAAGCATGTTCGGGCTGGGCTCAATACCATTCCATTACTATCAAAACGTAAGAAAACGTGGGCTCGGTTTTAGTAAGCGTTTAAGGCCGA